GAAGTGGTCTCATTTGGCATTTATTATTAAGTATTATTTACTTAATATAGGCATTGTCATCACGGTATTGACATATACATTTCTCAGTAGCTTTACATATAAAATAGCCGAGCCTCCTTAACCTCCATGGAAAATGTACCTTTCAAGCAGTCGTGCTGAGGGTTAGGTACATGGTCTCCACCCTGTAATTGTCATGGTTAGTTCAGTATTGTCATTCTGGCTTGTGGAAATGGAAGATACTTGATAATTTTGCAGTAACTTCAAAAAATGCAGCTGCAGTACATCTCATTAGGGATGTAAATTCCCATTCATCAGTTAACCTGTTAATGTTAGGTCACAATGGGGCTGCGAGCAACTCCCAGCCCCCTCCAGAGCATCCCTTGTGTCAAGTTACTGGATTTTAAGGGGAGCAGTCAGATCACTGCTGCATCCATGGGAGGGAAGGTATTTACTCCAAAGTGTATACAAAGAGGGCCATGTGAGGTGGCACATGAAAGCTTGTGTTCTACTGATTCTGTATATGCTATTCAGGTACTTGTATGATATCTGTATGTGGAGTTATAAACATGTACTCTGTAGGGATGCTGGAAAATTGTCTGTGGCTGAACAATGGGCAAGGAATGCTCAGCCAATGGCTATGCTAATTAGCAAGGAGACAATGAAGCTCAGGAATGTGACTGATACCTGCAAACCAGCCAGGGTCGAAGGGCTGCAAGATGGGACACAGGGATAGGTCATTGGACCATGTGACCTTCTCTGGCCAAGAAGATGCCAGGAGAGGTATATAAGTGCCATGTGGCACCCTCCATTTTTGTCTTCAGTTTTGCTCCTGATCCCAGATGCGGCCTTGCAGGGAAAAACAAGCCGGAAATAACTGTGGACCCATCCTGACAAAGGATGTACACCAGAGACTTTTAAGGTAGCAGTTGTAACATCTCTGCTCAGACCCTGTATCGAGAACTGGATGATTTGATGCATGTAATGTATTTTCTTTAACAGCCTTACTCTCATGCTTTTCTTTCTTTTAGTAATAAACCTTTAGATTTTAGATTCTAAAGAATTGGCTCAGTGTGATCTTATGGGTAAGATCCAGAGTGTAGATTGGCTGGGACCTGTGGCTGGTTTCTTGGGACCTGACGAACCCGTTCGAGATAGGTGAGATTGGGTTCTAACAACCCTCACCTGTGTGTTCGGCCCGGGGCTGATTGGGGCACAGGGAGAGCTGGCTGTCAGAGGGTTTTTGCTTGTGAGGCTTCTGCCTGGCCAGATTGGCAGCTGAAGCACTTGGTATGACTGGTTTGTGGCCTGTTTGGGAAGGTCCCCAGTCTGGAGCTGTAAGGAGCCCTGAGTTTGAGCAATTCGCCCTGAGCGGACGCCCACAGCTGTGCCCAGACCTGGCCTGGTCGGTCATACCCTGTCCACAGCAGACTGGTTTTCCTCTCAGATAGAGGCTGCTCTGGACACTAGCACAGTCCCTGCCTTCGGGGCCCCCAGGTCCTCCACAGACAGGAGCTGCTCTGGACAAGAGCAACCCCTGTCTACATCAGGCCCTCTGTAGGACTGAAGCAGCCTGCTGCCTGCATCAGGTGGGGATTTACTCCAGCTCCCTCTGATTACCAGTTAATTGGAACCGGTAAGCATCATCAGTTAAGAGGACTAAGGAAGTTGTCCCATGAAATTGTGGGATAGTTCTGGGTGACTCCCAGGCCCTGAGTCAAATGGGGCTGCATCTTCATTGTAAATTAATAGGTCTAGGATCCTGGATCTCATCTTGAATTGAGGTTGGACTCCTAGTGCTGCAGTGTCATAGGACCTCAAGTCTAGAGCCTGGGTTAATGCAATTGCAGTATAGTTGCATGCGGGGGGGGAAGAATGTCCTATGGGGCCCAAACCCATTCCTATTGGTAGAGGTCAGTGGGAAGAGGTCTTAGAGAGGTCACATGACACCCTTTACTTCTGGTCATGTGTCCATCTTGACCCCAAAAGTACTATCCTGGAGCAGACCTTCTTGTGGCAGGTGGGTGGAGCCTAAGGGGCATGGCTAATGGAAACAATGTGTCCCTATTTTTGGGTCAGAAAATATGGCCACTGTACCCAACTATGATCCATGGCTGTCCCTTCCTTTGCAGGCTTTGCACAAAGGCTTGTCTGACCTCAGGCTTGCCATGCTAGGGTGGGGAGTCTCCAGACACAGGCAGGCTCCAATATATCTTGGAAGTGAGCATGGTGAGGAGTGTCAGGGGGCAGTTTTACCTTAATTGTTGGTGGGGGGTTGAGGACTTGAAATCCATTTCCCACTCTGTCTTCCTAGCCTGTATTCCAGAGGGCCATCCTTGGTCAGTGCTATGTTGGGCCCTTCCTCCTTCAGGGACGGGGAAGGAGATGGAACTTCAAGTCAGGGCACTGGCTGGCTTTGGGAGTGAGACCCTCAAATTCCCCTACCACCTGCTCAACCTCCCCTGCTCCCTTCATGAGATCCAGGAGATGGTGTGTACAGAAGAGTCACAGATACCTTCCTAGAGAACCAGATGGGTCCGAAGGGAGTCAGCTCTTCTCCACCACTGGCTCTGAGATTCACTCTCTTCCTCTGACCAAGGGCTTTTGGAGCCAGCGAGGATCAAGGGGTCTGTCTCCATTCTGATCAGGTGTTCATGAATCAGGAGTTCAGAAGAGACAGCACCAGCCCAGATAGTGAACATTGTCCCAGTCTAGAGAGACAAAGACAAATGGTGAAACCTCTTCTTATGCACCTGATCAATGAATCAGATATTCCACCCTGAGCACAATGCCTGTTCCAAGGGTGTGGGGGTAGGCTTGCCAGGTGTCTGGTTTTGAACTGGACAGTCCAGTATTTGAGCTTTCTGTTTGGGAAAAAAATTGAGAAAATATAAATGTCTGGTATTTTCTAAATAAGATGTAATGTAGATTGTGATGTAATGTCAAGTGTGTCCGGTATTTTTGTTGCAACCATCTGGCCACCCTATGTGCACAGTATGTGGTCTGTTGTTCCTGACCTGCCAACTTCTCTCATAGGCTATGTCTAGACTGCAGGCTTCTTTCGAAAGAGAAATCCGCTTTTTCGAAAGAGAGCACCCAGCGAGTCTGGATGCTCTCTTTCGAAGACGGCCTCTTTACATTGAAGAACGCCTTCCTTCGAAAGAGGAACTTTCGAAGGAAGGCGTTCTTCCTCGTGAAACGAGGTTTACCGCCATCGAAAGAAAAGCCGTGTTCTTTCGAAATAATTTCGAAAGAACGCGGCTTGAGTCTGGATGCAGGGGAAGTTTTTTCGGGAAAAGGCTACTTTTCCCGAAAAAACCGCTGAGTCTGGACACGGCCATAGTGTGTCAACTTCTACATCAGGTCCAGTGTCCCAGGAGAGAGTAAAGGCTGTAAGGAACAGCAAAGCCCCATTCTGATTCACCACCTCTTTCCCAGAATGTGATGCAAATGACTCTGAGTCTAGCTCCCTGACTCCAGGCATAGGCAGGCTGACTCCAAGGGTATGTCTACACTACAAAGTTAGTTCGAACTAACTTAGTTCGAATTAGTTAATTCGAACTAAGCTAGTTCGAACTAACGCATCTATGCTGGCTGGGTGCTAGCAGGCTTGCACCTGGCACGGGCACCGTAGCCAGCCCGTGCCCCTTTAAGGGGTCCGGGGCCGGGAGGGGGGCATAGAGTTTCCCTGGTGTTGGCCAGAGTGGCCACCAGGGAAACCTGGGGAGGGCTAGGCTCCCACTAGTTCGAACTAAAGGGCTACACAGCCCTTAGTTCGAACTAGCTAGTTCGAACTAGGCGTTAGTCCTCGTAAAATGAGGTTTACCTAGTTCGAACTAAGCGCTCCGCTAGTTCGATTCAAATTCGAACTAGCGGAGCGCTAGTGTAGCACCTATTAAAGTTAGTTCGAACTAACGTCCGTTAGTTCGAACTAACTTTGTAGTGTAGACATACCCCAATAGCTTGTAGGGTCTGCAGCTGCAGGGTCTGTGAATTGGGAATGTTCCCCTTGGGAAGGCAGAATCAGAGCAGGGAGTAAGTTAGATTTGAGTTAAGATTATCTCCTGATTCAGTGGAAATCCTGGGACTTTAAGGGGACCATCATGGGTGGCTGGTATGCTAGGCCGGGGAAGGCATTGCCTTCCCAAACCACCAGATTGATTCTGCCCACACTCTTCCCCCAGAATGCCTGCTGTAGGCGTTCTGGGGGTGGAGTGTTGCTGCCCCTATTGCCCGCCCTTCCAGTGCTCCAGAATGGGGAGACTGGGACTGTGCGCCCACCCGCTCCCCTCCACATGGTGGTGAGGGGTGAATGCATGGGGTATTGCTCCACCTCCCTGTGGTGAGCAGGCGAGGAGATGGCTTGGCTCTCATGGGGGGCGGAGCCCCAGAAGAAGGGGTGGGGCTGGAGTCTTGCCTTCCCCAGCCCTACCTTCACTGACCACCCATGAGGACCATGTTCCAATCCCTGATCCAGACAGGTTCATCCCTGGCCCTGAGTCCCTTCTTGTCATCTTGGAGCAGCTGGGGGTGCTAGTACTCATGGAGAACCTTGTCCACATGCCTTTGCTCCAGGATTCTTTGTGGGCAGAAGGATCTGAGGATCTGGATCTAGCTCTAGCTCTTCTCCCCCCGTGTCTCCAGCAGAGGGACTTAGGGGAGAAAGATTCCTGGCCATGCTCGTCTCTGTAAAAACTGAGCACTGTCTACACTTTGCCAAAAGTGCTTGCTCTTTCCTTCCTTCCTTCTTTCCTCCTTTTTTTCTATGGGAGGGGAGAAAGACTCCTGGCTCTGAGGAGACTGGAGCTAACAGCAGAATGCTGATGGAGCCCCCTCTCCTTCCCTTCCATTAGAACTCAGCACAGGCTCTTCTCTCTCTTCAATAGAAAGGAAAGTGTGTGTGTGCATAACTATTGTGGGATGGCTACACCAAAGAAGTATGTTTTGTTGTGGTTTACGATCCTTCCTTTAAAAAAAATTGAATGCCCCTCTCTCTCCTGCAGGAGATGCTGGCCACATCATACCCAACAGGAGAAGCAGTAGAGAAAAAAATCTAGAGACATCCATAATTAAGGTACAACAGAACTTTCTGTTTAAAAGCAGATTTTTCAAAGTGCTTTGAAATCCAAATGCATGTAGTCTGGAAAATTCTTGGGTCAGTTGAGGGACTATGGAGAGTTAATGATGTAAGTTTGGATTCATTTACTTGAGGGTATTGAGCTATATTTTTTCTCTCTCCCTTTCATCCTTCTCTCCAAATAAATGACCTTATTTTTAACTTTGTTGGATTTTAAAACATTTTTTCCTAAAATTAGGGGAAAATACTATGGGCAGCATCCACATAAAAATTGTATCACTGGCCTGCTCTAGGATTCTGGGAGGAATCTGAAGAAGACTTTCCATTTAGTTGGAAATTGGTAGGCATGAGGCTCAGTTTGAAATCTTGAGGAAAATCTTCAGCTATATGGGACAAAAATCTTCTCAGAACCACTCATTTCAACTTCAGGCTCTGAAATGCTCTGAACAAGTAATGCTTCTTTCTCTCATCAAGACAACTCCATCAACCGTTAAGCGGGAATGAGATGGAGGGAGGGTGAGGCACAATATTTCAGGGAATATTTATTTTCAAAATGAGTTTAATGAACTCATTAAGTGGTAAAGGGATGAATTCATTAAAAATGCATTCACATTTATACAGCTTTGCATGATCTAAGTGTCTCCAAACATTAACCAATTAAACTTCACAACAATCTTCATTAAAGTGTTACAACAGTGCAGCTGCATTGGTAGAGCTGAGCTGATGCAGCCTTTTAAGTGTAGACATACAATGCAATGAATCAGTGGTAGTTAGAAATGAAACTCTTCTTTTTGCTTTAGGACTTGCCTGTCAAACAAACTGCCTAATGTAGCAAGATGAAGGCCTAAAGCGAATGCAGCACAGACCTGGTCTGAGGCCTGAGGCCTAGATAACAATGGACAGGGGCGGCCCGAGGCGGGCTGCCAGCAGCTGGCGCCCCAGGCAGAATGCGCAATCGGTGCCCCCGCCTCCACAGCCCTCAATGGAGTGACGTCATCATTGGGTGCCCCGTTTAACGCGGTGCCCTAGGCAACGGCCGAGTTGGCCTATACACACGGGCCACCCCTGACAATGGACAAAACATGGCTAAGCTATGAGCAAGAGGCAGGCCCTACCTCACAGAACTTGGCACAAACAGGGCTGAGAGTGCAAAACACTAATTGGTGCTAGGTACCGACTGCAGAGCAATAATTGGTACTGGTCATAAATTGAAATCATGTGGTATCACTAGCTCATTAAAAAAGACCTTGGTACCCACTCCTCTCAGACACAGATTCAGGTTCAGGAAAGGGTCTAAAATGACAGCATGATGGATAGAGATGATCTAATCAAACCACGAGGTACAGGGTGATGGGTGGTATCTAAGTAGTGTCAGAGGGTGGTAACAGCAGTGAGGTGTGATTTGTTGTACCTGTATATAAAATGGTGTCTTGGGGGGACAGTCTTTGGATGACTGGAGGGGCAGTGGAAATTTCCCACTTATTGAGTCATTGCATTGTGGCAAGTACATATGCATAATGGTTCGTCTATTGGCAACTATTACTGTACTTTGCTTAACAGTAAACCTGGCCTGGCACCTTCAATCCTTATCTGATTTGTGGTCTTTGGGGGCTCTCTTAGGATCTGCAGTCTGTGGAGACTAAGTGCACAAGTCGACATAGCGCACATCACTGAGCACACACACAAGCAGCCTTCTGCTTATCATCATCAACGGAGCCAGAAACCTGCGAGGACACCTCAGCAGTAAATCCCGACTACCCTCGCTGAAATAACTACACCTGCAACTAAACTGAAGTAATTTTGTGACCTGCATGAAATGTTCACATTCTCCAGAATCTAAACTTTCATTTAAAAAAAAGTTTCTAGTCCTTATGGCTGCAGCACTAACCTTCCAAAGATGAACAGAATTTAACCAATACAGCCATGTCTCCTTCAGTATTCATACAGCTTGAAAGACTCACTCCCCAGACCTGTATTAATCTGATTAAAGAATGTGCTCTAAATCCCAATGATACCTGCCATTGTCAACACTGAGTAATTAATCCCCAGTTTGTTATTGTTTGGGATGAGAGTTAAGGAGGAAGTGGAACCCACTGAAACAGGAAATGGGTGCAGTAACAGGGAAGGAAATGAAGAGGAAAACACAAAGCAGCTCACAGAGACAGGGAAGGTGGGGAGAAACAGAGCAGGGAGAAGAGAAGGAGGAGACACAAGGTGCAGAAATAGCAGAGGCCCAGCCAGATGCAGATTTCCTTCCTCAATGCCAAATGTGACAATAAGGCTCTGAACAAATAATAATCACTGAATATTTATTTACTTTGTAAAGGCCACTTTCGTCCTTTGATCTCTGTACAAACCTCCCACTGCTCTCAGGGGACATTCCACTGTATGTTGTGTGTGTGTGTGGGCAGTGGGAATGGAGGGGGGTAGTTATGAACTATAGCTTGGACCAGTGCTTTTCAACCTTTTTTATAAAGTACCCATTAAAAAAAAGAATTATAAGTAGTTTTCAGACACATTTTTTTCTACCATTGCAACACATTTGTTTAAACAAGTTAATCGTAGCTGGGTGGGAGATGAAATTTTTGGGTGTAAAAAGTAAAAAAATAATAAAGCGCTGTAAAACTTAGAACAAAAATTCAGTTTTCTCCAAATTTCAGTTGTGTTGACATACTCCCCGGACTTCTCTTGAGTACTCCTAAGGATACTTGTAATGCTGGTTGAAAAACACTGGCTTGAACCACTATAGACCAGTATTAAACATGGAATTTGTCTCTTTCCTCCAAATACGTTTTGACACCACTGCTGCTGGCACAATAACTCATTGTCTGACCAACAATTCATTCTTTTAGTCCAGTGAGCTTTGCAGTATGCATCTAGGGTCATTGTTCTAGCTACTGCTTCATTCTTAAGGGTCCTCCATGTCCCTTCTGTGTTGTAGTATTGTTTTGAACATAAAGGCTACGTCTACACTGGCCCCTTTTCCGGAAGGGGCATGTTAATTTCAGAGATCGCAATAGGGAAATCCGCGGGGGATTTAAATATCCCCCGTGGCATTTAAATAAAAATGTCCGCCGCTTTTTTCCGGCTTTTAGAAAAGCCAGAAAAGAGCGTCTACACTGGCCCCGATCCTCCGGAAAAAGCGCCCTTTTCCGGAGGATCTTATTCCTAATTTGAAGGGGCCAATGTAGACGAAAAGGGGCCAATGTAGACGAGCCCAAGAGGGTTCCAGTGGAACCAGCTCTCTCTTTCTCTCTCTGATAGTGCCTTTATTGGAAACAGAATCAATATACTTCAAGACCAAAAGAAAGGGGTCACATACACTTTTTGCTTCCCATCCTTTGTCTTGTAAGCTGCTTGGAGCAATGACTATCTGTTTATTAGAGCCTAGCATGATGAGGTTCTAATCTTGGTTGGGACAGATAGCCATTACTGTAATATAAATAACATTTATAAAGTCATCACTGGAAAGTAAAACTTCAGCTGAAACACACTTTTAAAAACATAAATCAATAGCCCTAAAAATACAAATTAAAAAATGCAAGATTGTAGTGGGTTGGAACCTAGATCTTTGTTCATTCTCCATGGATGCAGAGCATCTTGGGCTCTGCACAGCTGTGCAGTGCTCTGACTTTCCAGTATACTTTTTTCAATCAATTCTCCATCTACTGACCCTTCTGATTCTTGTCCCAGAAGTTCATGACAGTTAACTCTCTTAATTCCTTATCCTGGCTTTCTTTAAATTTTGTTTCTGTTCCATCTTCTTTCTGTCCATGAAGCCAATAAAGCAATCTGTGGTGTGGGCTCCACAAATAGCTTTTCAGGGGGGAATCCACAGCCAGGATTGCAGAGAGCCTATACAATGTATAGCTACCTCTACAAGGCTATGACTGTCTTCGGTACCTGCCAGTGAGTAGTCACTTATTTTCATTTCTCATCTAAGACTCACCTGGTTTTGAACAAACCACTTTATGGGATGGTCTCTAATTCACAGCCCATCAGAACAGAGCATAAGAATGTCCAGACCAAGAGTCCATCTAGCTCAGTATTCTGTCTTCTCAGATGGCCAACGCCAGGTGCTTCAGAAGGAATCATGTACTAATCCCAATTTGTAGCAGAGGCTACAGACACCATCCCTGCTCATCCTGACTAATAGCCATTGATGGATCTATCTTCCAGTTCTTGTTTTTAACCCTGACATAGTCTTGCCCTTCACAACATCCTCTAGCAGAGAATTCCACAGGTTGACTGTGCGTTGTGTAAAGAAATACTTCCTTTTGTTTGTTTTAAATGTGCTGCTTGTTTCATTTGGTGACCTCCTACTTTTTGTGTTATGAAAAGAAGTAAATGACACTTCAGTATTTACTTTCTCTACACTCCAGTCATGATTTTGGAGACCTCAATCATATCCCTCCTTAGTTGTCTCTTTTCCACGATGAAAATCCCCAGTCTTATTAATCTGTCCTCAAACTGAAGCTGTTCCATATCCCTTATTATTTTTGTCACCTTTTTCTAAACATTTTCCAATGCCAAGGTATTTTTTTAATGGGGTGACCAGATCTGCAAGATATGGGCATAACATAAGATTTATATAGAGGTAATATATTTTCTGTCTTCTCATCTATCCCTGTCTTAAAAATTCTAAACATTCTTTTAGCTTTTTTGATTGATGCTGCAAATTGAGTGGATATTTCCAGAGAACTATTCACAAAGATTCAAAGATCTTTCTGTTGAGTGGTAACAGCTAATTTAGTCCCCATCATTTTATACATACAATAGGGATTTCCAATGTGCATTACTTTGCAACTATCACCATTGAATTTCATCTGTTATTTTGTTGCCCTTTCACTCAGTTTTGTTAGGCATCCTTGTAAATCTTCACAGTCTGTTTTGGACTTATTATATCATTATTGTATCATATCTGGGAGAGCTCAGTTTCTGAAGAAGGTGCCAAGATAGCATGAAATCTAAGAAATGCTACAGGACATTGGCATATGTGTGTGCGTAAGGATGGTGGGTTCATGAGAGTTGGAGAAGTTACATAGTACATATATGTTTGTAGGAAGCAGTAAATGTGTTTGTGCAGGGAATAACAGATTGTATGTGTGTGTGAGTGAGGGAGTCTGTGTTTGTTTGTAGTTTGTCCATGTAGGGAGGTAATGCATAGTGTGTGTGTGTATGTGTAGAAAATAGTGGATGGTGTTGGAGTGGGTAGTGGACAGTGAGTAGTATATGTAGGAAGTGAAGGAGAGAGGGGACATTGTGTGTGGAGAAGTACAGAGTGTACTGTGTGTACTGGAACAGGGGCCTTTTGTGCATTATCCTCTTCACACTTCCAGACTACAGCCCTGGTCTCAGTGTTGTGCTTTTGCCCCACATAGGGTTGCCAGGTGTCCGGTTTTGAACCAGACAGTTCAGTATTTGAGCTTTCTGTTCAGGAAACAAATTGAGAAAATAGAAATGAGAAAATAGAAATGTCCGGTATTTTCTAAAAAAGATGTAATGTACATTGTGATATAATGTCAAGTGTGTCCGGTATTTTTCTTGTATCCATCTGGCAACCCTAGCCCCACATCCTGCATTGTGCTCCCATGATATGAGTCACAACACTGCGCCACTTTCTCCAGTTTGTGGTGGCACTATATGGGCTAGGTGCCTCATCCATAACAACCAAGCTCTGTCTGTTTTATCACTGTCTTGAGGGCTGGAAAACTTCTGCAAAGACGTCATCATCAGTGGGACTCTCATAATCAGGTGGTGGGGTGAGTAGCTCCAATCCCTCCAGCCTCTCTTCAGCACCTTTGACATCATGGATATCAGAGGCAAACCGCTGCATCCTAGGGGGCAGCACCAACCTAAGGTGCAGCCTGGAGCCCGCATCTGCCTCAGAGGCGCGCCTGGTGCCTGATGCCACTGAGACGCTGAAGGTCTCCACCCCAGTCTCTGCCATGCTGGGTGGCTCAATGACCACACTGTATGGGGGGGGCTCCCCAACTGTTGAGGACACGGTGCCAGAATTGGAGGTGATTGTCCAGACTGTCGGGGCTGGTGTCATTGTCACCACCTCCTCATAGGCTGGTGCTTCATAGGCAGCATTCACCCTACACACAAAAGACAGGGATATCAGCTAAAGAGTCATTGTGATGTTTAAACACTACATGGAGATAAACCTGTGAGAAAGGGGATCTGGGTCCTCCAGAATTGGGACCATGCAACAGACAATAGATCAACAGGTCAGCAGTGCTCCGACCATTAGTTTGTATGGTCCTGTATGCCATGCCCTGCTAAGTTAGATCAGAATACTGGTCTTTATAATTCAGTATCCCATCCACCTACTAAGCAGGATCCAAACAATGATTTGTCTAATGTGGTATTCTAACACCTGACACAATGGATCATATCACGTGTCTATCTAGTCTGGTGCCTTCTGACCCACCAACAGAGGCTCAGCTTAGCAGACATAGCAGAGCTACAAACATTTAAAATCAACATGGCTTATTTTGGGAGAAAAAAGACTGCACCTTTTAGCTCTATTATACTAGCAATAACAGGTTTTGTGATGACAAAGAGAAAAATAAGAAATATTGTATTTTAGATTAAATAATAGGAAATTTCTATTCAATGTAGAGTTAGTAGAGGTGTCTCTCAGGAGAAATGACTGCCTTTGTCATTTTTTTCCTAGCCAGCAACATTGTAGATGCATTTCTTCCTAATAATATATAATCTTTTAAAAATCTCTCCTGAGGTATTTGCCTCCAGAATACCCAGTGGCAATGAATACCATTTGAACTTTTTAAAATTAGTTTATATATTTTGCCTTTTAAATATAATTATTATTATTAACAACAGTAATAATAGCAACAATAATAATGATGATAATAATAATATATCCCCCCTAATACAGCATTTGAGGATCAGGAAGCATTTTACCAAGATGGGTAACTTATTATTAGCTCCACTTTACAGATGGGGAAATGGAGGTACAGAGAAGTTAAGGCTTAGTCTTTATGTTTGGGTGCATAGTTATAGACAATCGGGTCTAATTTATGTAGGTGCTGAGCACCCAGCGCTGTAATTTAGGCCAACAGGAGTTGCTGGTGTTCTACACGCCCCCAAATTCAGTCCTTATGTGTTTTAAGTTGAACAGTCGAAATACAGAGGCATACAAAATTACAGACTACTGTTCTAGGGAATAATTGCCCTGGGGTATGTCTACACTACAGAGTTTTGTTGGAAAAATGGCCATTTTTCTGACAAAACTTGAGTTACGTCCACACTGCAATCGCGTTCTTCCAAAAGTAAATCAAAAGAACAGAGGGTTTTTTTTAGCATTGGTAATCTTCTTTCTACAAGGAAGAAGCCTTTTTCTGAAAGACAGGGAAGAGGAGATCTTTTGAAAGAAGAGGAAAGAGGAAAAAGCACAAGTGCTTTGGTGGCCACTCCATTCATTGTAATCACAGCTTAAATGTGTGCAGTCAGTCTGGATGCTATCTGTCGAAAAAGCAGATCGCTTTTTCGATATGCTTTTGTGTGCGGACACTCTCTTTCGGAAGTTTTTTCGGAAGATCTCTTCTGAAAAAAGGTTCTGCCGAAAGAAGCCTGCAGTCTAGACATAGCCGTAAAGATGAGGTCTGGAGAAGTTGGCAGCACAAACTTAGCTGAAATTCCCCATAGTATTTCCCCCATTATTTTTATCTCCTTCCTTGTCTGACTCATTTTATTGCAAAACAATAGTTGCTGGCTCATTAGTGATTCTAGCATTCAGGAAAGAGTTACAGGGCAGGTTGGAGTACGACGTGATTACACGGGGCAAAGAAGACTGGGCTAGATCTCTGAAATGGTCTCTGAGTCTGTGAATGGAATACCCAGGCCCATATGCAGGAATTTCTGGGGTTGTGTGGGCTTTTTTTGGGTAAATGTTGGTTCCAAAGGTGTGAATGCACCGGTGCCTCCATGGTCTCCCAAGTAAACAGGGAAATTAGCTCCAGACTTCCCCTGGCTGGCCAGAGCATGCTTACTTGGGGGACCACAGTGGGGTGCTTTCTGGGCTGGATACCATGATTGTGATTTCCGTGTTCTACTGAATACTGTACTCAGCCCTGTCTTAACAAAGGTGGATGCACAAGATGACCTCTAGAACAGGTTTTCTCAATGTCTGGTCTGAGGACCAGTAATGGTCCCTGATATCTATCTCCCTGATACAGATTGGGGAGGCAGCAACCCAGGTTTCAAAAAAGTTGAGAACCACTGCTCTAGAGGATATTTCCAGCCCTACATTGCTAAGATTCTGTGCCTTTGGGAACCTCTACCATGGGAGAAGAGAATGCTGTGCCTCCTGGAATGGAATTTGAGTTTTGCCCCTTGGGAGAAGGGTAGAAGAAGGATGAGGAAAGGGAAAGATTCAAAAAGCTGTGGCTGAGGACTGGGTAAATAAAGGGAAGTAGTACATATAGTTGCTTACCCTGCCTGGCTCTGCCTCCTTGTGGCTGCCTGAGTTGTCTCCTGTACATGCCGTTGCTTTAGGAAGCACTCCACAAACACACTCAGCAGGTAGCCAATCAGGCACACCCCCCCGACCCCCAGGAAGAAGAATCCCACTGGGTTGATGTTAGAGGAGATAGCCAGCATGGTGACCCCAATTAGAAGCGCTGCGGTGAAGACAAACAACAGAGCCTGGCGGATGCCTCTCCAGTGTGACTCTACCCACATGGTGATGTGGATTTTGATGGCAGGCAATGGGAGAAGGCTGGGCAGCTGGGGGAACAGAGATCTGTGGAAGATATGGAGGGGTTTGGAACATGAAACATGAGTTCCAGAAAACATGTCAATATGCGTACATGACTGTGTAAATACATGCGAACACAAGGACACACCAACATGAGGGCTCATTAGGAATGTGAATGGTTAATCAATTAACTGGCACGCATCACCTTTACTGGGTGAAGCCCATCAGTTATGGTTAACTGATGGGCTGGAACTGCCTGATGTGGCTGGGGACGGCTCCATTCTAGTGGAGCGCACCCGCCCGTCCCATTCAAGCAGTTAACTGGTTAAACAGATTAAATGGATTTTTGCATTCCTAGAGCACACATGCAAATACATGCCACAAGAATATGCGTATGTAGAACACACGGCACATATATGTAAATACATTCCTAACAGCAATACACATCACCATGAGGACATGCTTATGTAAAATACACACCAAACACAGGCAAGATATGCAAATGTGCCTACAGGGCAACATACACATGTACAAATATGAGGAAATTAGTGTGGACAAATGTACACATACAAACATGCAAACACTCTCCCATGAAGGCATATATACAACAAATGGACATGCGAACACAACAAAGTAACAAAAGATCATGGAACGTGGTACACACATACTTGAATCCTTGAACACAGGAATATAAGCTGCCTGAGCTCAATATTAGCTGCATCTGTTGTCAGATAACATGCAACATCCAGCTGCATATTTAGATCCCTGAGAAGATATAAAATTTCTATCTGCATCTGATCTGTGATCCATAAAAAATGGCCTGTGGGTATCCAAAGTGAGTATCCACAGATTTGCAGGTCTACGCATAGTCCATGGCTATGAGCAGACTTATCTTTGATTCCAGCACATAGGCAAAACTCAGCACAAAGCTTGGGGTTTCTTTTAGATGCAACGTGGCCTCTCCAAATTCCGTCTACATGGTCGGTGTACTGTCTCCTTCCAACTAAACTACTTCCCCTCCCCCTGCTGGACTCCTCCTGCCATGTTTTCTTTGCTGTAGGAGACTGATTATCATTGTGTGGTAGCCTGTATGTGAAAAACACCAGGAACCTCTGTTTGGTGCTGAAGCAAAGACCAGAAATAAGGAGTTGTCTGGCTTTCGTCATAGTAACCTAAACACCCCTCCCTTCTCCTACCTAGTGGCAAACCCCAGGCACAATATTTACAGCAGCGCAACAAAATTACAGTGCAAGGGCACCCTCTACTGACTGATACTAGTACAAGTCTCCTCTAACAATTGGCCAGTCCTAGGGAAATTCACACCTGAGGGAGCCCTCTCCTTGCTTTAGCTGTTAGTGACCATTGTTGCCACAGGCCAGTCATAAGCTCATCCCAGGCTAGGGAGCATTTTCCTTATGTGATGACAATGAAAGCCCTGCCTCAGTGTCCCACTCTCCCCACCTAAGCGCACTTCAGACTTGGTCAACAAACCTTGACAGTTCCAGGGACACTCTGCAAAGGGAGGGCCCTTGCCTCCCATGTTGCTAGTGGAGAGCTTGACACTGAATGCTGCATACCTAAGAAATGCCAGCCCCATTGGCCCTTGCCCGGGGAGAAAGGACAAAGGGACAGAGGACATGAACAAGACAGAAACAGTGACGTAGAAAGAGAGAGAAATGGTAGGAAGAGACACCAGTCCAGGCCATTTTCCTGGACCTTCCATGAGATGATTTTTGTGCTTCTAATGAAAATGAGATTTCTCTTTATTTAACGCTTAATCTTGCAGAAGACACAGATTCACACACCTTCAAGCACACACACACCTACAAGCCACAGATACAAAACCACAGTTCCATACATACTCTCATAGGCACATTCTTGCATGTGCATGTATTCACATGCAGGTGAGCACACCCTCAGAACCACACATCCCTACAGGTTCATGCATGTACCCAGAATAACTGTAACATAGGTCAACAAACAGATACTCCTTAGCACATTCTCAAGCTTTCTCCAATAGACAGGCATACTCACAAACAAATTGTCATATACCCCGTGTGTCAGATGCCATGGCTTGATTTTAAAAAAGGATAGATAATATTAAGAGCATTAATAGGTGTAATTATACAGATCAGACTAGGGCTAATCAAATCTTATGCATCAAGCCAGCAGCTGATCTACTAAAGAGGTCAGAGGGAATATCCTAATAACATTTGCCTCTCTGAAGCACCTCATCAGTGCACTGCTCCAATGGGGCTAACCCTGTGAGCCTAATTACATGTGCACTCTCGTGTTCTCTTTTACACACCTCCCTCCCGCACAAAAACCACACAGCTGTATATACATACACAGTTATACCTATACACATCTGCACTTCTGGGAGCACATGTTCATACACACAGACCCCTCATTCTCCAGCTGACTCCATAAAGACAGTCCTTTGTAGCAGCCTTTGTGCCATCTCTTTTAAGCATGCACTTACCAGAGACAGCCTTCCAGAGCCAGTTCCAGACATGTCCTCTTGCCTTCTCTCTTCATCCCAAGGAACTGTCTGAAAGCCTCTTTTGACTCTGTTCTTTACCTTCCTTTCCCTGACCTGAGGCAGAGACCTTGGCTCCTTTTGTACTCCGAAGGTAGCTCTTTTTATAAAATGCTGATGAGCAGTGAGAGTGGGAAGGTAGCAAACCACAGGGAGACTTTGTTACACTAGCCTGGCCTCCTTTTTCCAAGCAATAAATCTAAAGTTTCACTTCTGTGTGTGTGGTCATCTACTTCGTTTTTTCTCTCATCTCTTTTCTGCTCCTTCTCGCTCCTTTTTTCTCTTCCCCGTTCTTCCCTTTGCTGTTCAATCTGTCCTAGCCTCTGTCCTAGCAAAGCAGGAAGCTGGCTGGGGGAAAGGGCGGGGTGTGTGGTGTGGGTGTGCTTGTGTATGTAATTCTGACCCACCTCCCTCTGCTAATACAACTCTCCTGTCTCCAAACGGGTTTTATTCTCTCTTCTTGCCCTGTAGAAAGACCTGGTCCCTACCCAGGCCCAGCCCAGAAGCACATGGTCCATACATAAAACTTTTATGAACTCTATGAAAATGTAAGTTACGTACCTAGATTGGCTGCTGGATCTCCCTAGTTTATGCCCTTTTGGACTTTAAGAACAAAAGAGGAAAAGCAGACAGGTAACTAACTCCAGAGGGCTACAGTGGAGTTTTGGCTATCCTTGGCACATCCGGAGATAATTGAAATCTCCCTCAAATCTAGTGATCATTTGAATACTTAGTAAAAATAATCATAAGCTCTCAAACATGGATTTTCCACATGAACAGCCTCAAGATACCAGCAGTTGCAAGGGTCTGTCTGTACTAGGAAACAGTCCTACTGCTGACAATGATTGTTAACAGTAGTTTGCACCTTGGACTTCCTTTAGCTGGAGCTGAAAAAATACATTAGCTGCTAGCATAGAAGGGGTCAAACCATTTTGAGTCTTTTAATCTTTATGGACAGAGGCCTGAATGTTTTCTTACTTACAACTGGAGGAGAACTCCATTGAAGTAAATGTATTACATCAGTGTAAAATGGAGACAGTCAGGCTCTAGCATCTAGCACAATTTTTGCAAGTTTTATGTCCACAGTAGAAAAATGATGCATTACTGACAACTCTTCTCACCAAGGGACTTCTTACCAAGTGCTGGAAAGGGCTGAACTGCTAGTGAAGATGGGACAAACTGGCTTCGCTACACTGAGGCTTTTGCCGCAAGAGCCTATGCAAATGAAGCACATACTAACCCGTCATCACACTTCATTTGCATAATTTATTCAAGCCATTTTTGCGCAAGGGATTTTTGCACGAAAACAAGCAGCGTGGAATTTTTTTTTGCACAAAAACCCTGTTTTGAACCAAAATTCTGTTTTGCGCAATCCCCCATTCATATTGCTTGTTTTTGCACAAAAACCCCTTGTGCAAAAACAGCTTGAATAAATTATGCAAATGAAGCGCAGTGATATGCTATCTGTAGATGTAGCTACCTGGTTTTAGTGCTGTTACAGAAAGTGTGATTGAATGAGGAGACTAGGGCTCCTTTACAATACAGAAATGATGCATTATTGGCAATGACTGTCCAAGACAGGTGTAGTGTTGGACACAGTTTAGCTGCAAGTATGGTGAGGATAAATAAATTTGAACATTGTTTCAGAAACCATGTCAGCACAGGGGAATGTGTGCACTCTAGACAAAGCTTGGAAGTGAACCCTCTGTCTCCCATTATATGCCTTCTCTAGAGAAGTGAACCATTGCTAAATGAGGTGGGGGGATTGCACTAGGCTAAGCACCACAGGGCATTGCACCTGCACTAGCTGTACAGATTTGAGGGACTGACCATTGGAATTTTGCCCCTCAGTTACACAAGTGCTCTTCTACAACATTGCAGTAATACTGCTTTCTGGGGGTATATCCCATAATTTGTGGCACAATTCCCAGAAGTAGTGGATTCTAGAAGATTTTGAGAGGTCTTCTGGAATTCTCAGGAAGTTGGAGATTATGGGAGAAAAGGTCAAACTCCCCTAATTACCTGTGAAGCTCCTAAAAGTCCTATAACTCCTGTGGTGCCAGAGCCTGGATGTTCATGGATATGTTCATATGGAAATCAGGCAAAATATGTATCAGGATTTCCAAAAATTCTGGACTTTTCAATAGTGGATGAATTTGAACCCTCTTCCTTCTGAAAGCATCTCTTCAAATAATCAAAAGCACATTCTACTGCTATTCTGCACTTGCACATCCTGTAGTTGAGCTGCTCCTTACTGCTGTACAGGTTGCTCATGTATGGGTTCATGAGCCATGGGAGCAAGGGGTAAGCTGGATAACTATTGACATTTCAATGTCTTCAATGGTAATTTTCTGGTCTGGGAAGAAAGTTCCAGCTTGAAGCTTCCGGAAGAGACTGAGTTCCTAAAGATGTGCATGTCCCACACTGAGGTTAGTGAAATGGCCCTTGTGATACAACAGTGCCTGAAACACCATCAAGAAGTACTCTTGCAATTTATGTACTCTTCAGCAAGGTGCTCTAGTGTTAAGAAAGGGATGTGTGTTCCATCTATTGCTCCACCACAGTTAGGGAACCCCATTATGGCAAAGCCATCCACTATGTCCTACACATTTCCCAGCGTTACTATCCTTCCCTTTACCCACTCCAAATTGATTCCCAACTGACCAATAGCTGTCTGGCATTGCAAGCTTCCACTGGGCTATTGCCACTTACTTCTGAACTGTCAGAGTGGGTCTCCTTCTGGGACTGTTGTACTTCAGGGCAAGGGAAAGTAATGCGCAAAGTTCAGTGCAGGTGGCCTTACACATACGAAAGTTTTGCAGCCTCTGCTTACTGTCCCATAGATGCATAACTATGTGGTCCCACCAGTTTGTGCTTGTCTCACAGGACCAGAATTTTAGTTCCACTGTGTCAACAGGATTGACTGCCACCAGCAACTGCCAATTGCTCCACTCAATGGAGCTCCACTCCATCCTGCATATCTGTGTTCCTGACCTCCTCACATTCTTCCTTATGCTGGTGGCACGTGGTTACGCTCTGGACATACTGCAGCATGATGCACAAGGTGTTTGCAATGCTTGACACACCATTTTGAAGCCGAGCAGGGTCCATGTGTGACCTGCTGTGGTGCCTGCATGGATAACAAGGGGGGAAAGGGCATAAAAATTGTTTACCATTTGTTTCAAGCAGGACAGAGGGAAGAGGGGAATGCATTATAGGAGGCTGATGACATGTACCCAGAATCACTCGTATCACTGCACCACAGTTAGGGAACCCCATTATGGCAAAGCCATCCACTATGTCCTACACATTTCCCAGCGTTACTATCCTTCCCTTTACCCACTCCAAATTGATTCCCAACTGACCAATAGCTGTCTGGCATTGCAAGCTTCCACTGGGCTATTGCCACTTACTTCTGAACTGTCAGAGTGGGTCTCCTTCTGGGACTGTTGTACTTCAGGGCAAGGGAAAGTAATGCGCAAAGTTCAGTGCAGGTGGCCTTACACATACGAAAGTTTTGCAGCCTCTGCTTACTGTCCCATAGGGGGATAAGCTGAAGAAAAGCGCCAGTCTAGACGAGATTCTCCGGAAAATAAGCCCTTTTCCGGAGGATTTCTTATTCCTATTTTCAAGGGATGTGTGTTCCAAGTAGGAATAAGAAATCCTCTGGAAAAGGGCTTATTTTCCGGAGAATCGCGTCTAGACTAGCGCTTTTCTCCAGCTTATCCCCAAGCCAGAAAAAAGCGGCAGCCATGTAAATGCAAATGCCGCGGGGGGTAATTAAAACCCCCGC